TGAACGCCCTAGCAATCCTACGTTGATAGCCTTGGACGTGGTACAGTACTTTCAGCCTTCTTTCGTCGAACAACATAAGTTCCTCGAACCTGCTCTGCTGCTAATATGCTTCCGCTATCTGGCACTCAGCTATAACCCGCAGCAACGGAACCACAACTTCAATTGGCAGAACAGCCTCCATCCCATAAATTAGAGAATCCGGAGTTACCCTAGTAGATGTCCGAATTGATGTTTTGTAGCCCCAAAGAGCAAATGGCCGCTTATCTAGCCAGTCCCTGTAGGTTTCCACCATCTTCTGTAGAACGTTCTTGATGTTGTTGTTGGCGGCCTCAACAACTCCATTAGTTTACGGCCGATATGTGGATGACTTATGAAAAGTCACGTTGTATTTCTCCAACAAGTCGATCACTTTTTTCTTGAAGTGGGAACCATTGTCCGAAATGATCTCATTCGGGCCCCCATAGCGACAGATGATATTATTCTTGATGAACTTGGCTACGTGTGACGCTTTCAGCACTGCGTAGGATTGGGCCTCGACACACTTGGTAAAGTAGTCTATCGCCACTAGGATGTACTGATGCTCGTTTGACCTCTTCGACATAACTGCCCCAATAACATCAATTCCCCAGACTGAAAACGGCCATGGCGAAGTCATGTTGTACAGCTTTGACGGCGGGATATTCATGCGATTCACATGGATCTGACACTTGTGGCATCGCCGAACAAAACTAATACAATCCTCCTCTATGATTGACTAGTAGTAACCCTGTCTGAGAATCTTCCGAGCTAGCATCACTCCGCTCGTGTGCGATCCGCACTCTCCTCCGTGGATGGCCTCTATTAGGCGCTTTGACTCTTCAACATCAACGCACAGTTTATGCATTGCTAGATGGCCCCATTTGTACAATTTACCCCCGCAGATGATAAACTGAGCAGCCATTCCTCGTATCGCTGTTTTATCTTTGGCATTTACCTCTAGTAGATAAGCCTCCTTCTCCAAGAAGTTCCAGATGTCATGATACCAGGGGTTCTGATCTTGTACTTCATCTATTGCGGCAATTAGCTCGTAGGTTGGCACATACCTCTATTCAATAATGATTAGACGCATCCGGACTCCCAAAAGGATGTCTATCATAGAAGATAAAGTTGATAAGGCGTCAACGAACCTGTTGCTCTCTCTTAATAGATGCGTGAAGGTTAGCTTCTCAAACTTAGGAATCAACACATCCAAGGTTTAGTGATTGATTTTCATCATTTCTTCTTTAACCTTCCAGTCTCCTTTCGTTTGAGACACAATCAGGTTTGAGTCCCCAATGACGTCCAATCGTTTTACCCCTAGTTCCAGTGCGGCTTCCAAGCCAGCGATACATGCCTCGTATTCTACTTCATTATTTGATACTTTGAACCAGAGTTTGAAAGGCTAAGGTATGTGGGAATTGTTGGGCGCTATCAGCAACACCCCTATCCCATACCCATACTGATTAGATGCTCCGTCAAAGTACATAGTCCATATCTCTTCTTCAAGCTGCAGAATGGCCTTATCTGGGAACAGATACTCTACTGCTTCATCTCCTTCCATTGGGTGATCGGCTAGGAACTCTGCTACCGCTCTCCCTTTCACAGACTTGCGAGTCATATACTTCAAATCAAATTCGGAGAGAATAAGCAGCAACGGGCTAGCCTAATCGTAAGTGCTGGTTTCTCGAAGAGATATTTGATGGGATCCAATCTCAAAACCAGAATTACGGAGTGAGCTAACAGGTAGTGCCTCAACTTCCTGGTAGCCCATTCCAAGGCTAAGCAAGCCTTCATCAGCAGAGTGTAACGAGTCTCATATTCTAGCATCTTCTTGCTTAGGTAATAGATGGCCTTCTCCACTTTATCCTCAGATTCCTGTGCAAGCATGCAACCCATTGTTGTGTCGATTATTGACAGATACAAAATCAACAGCTTCTCTGGTTCTGGCGGTGACAACACGGGTGGGTTCTGTAGATACTGCTTGATCTGCTCGAAAGCAACTTGGCATAGTTCATCCCATTGGAATTTCTTTCCTTTCTTCAGGAGACCAAATAGTGGTTCACAAGTCAAGGTTAATTTTGCAATAAACCATCTTATGAATTGCACTTTATCTAGAAAGCCTCATATCTCCTTTTCAGTCCGTGGTGATGGCATTACGAGTATGGCCTTGATTTTGGAAGGATCAACTTCAATGCCCCTTTGTGTAATCAAGAACCCCAGCATTTTCCCTGCCGTGACACCAAAAGTACATTTTTGAGGATTCAGTCACAACCGATACTCTCTGATCCATTGGAAAAATTTGTTCAAGGCGGTGTAGTGGCCCTCTCTTTCCTTGGACTTGAAAATCATATCGTCCACGTACACCTCAACCTCTTTATGGATCATATCATGCAAGATAGTGGTTGCAGCCCGTTGATAAGTAGCCCCAGCATTCTTCAAACCGAACGGCATCACCCTATAGCAGTAGGTTCCCGACGGCGTGGTGAAGGCAGTCTTCTCCCTATCCTCAAGTGCCATCAAGATCAGGTTATACCCAAAACACCCATCCATAAAGGGGAGCAGTGCATGCCTTGAGGCGAAGTCCACCAATTCGTCGATGTGCAGTAGAGGAAAGTCGTCCTTTGGACTAGCTTTGTTCAAATCTCTGAAATCCACACACACCCGAATTCTGCCATCTTTCTTCGGCACCGGAACAATGTTGGCTAACCAAGTAGGATACTCAGATACTAACAAGAACCCTGCATCTATCTGCTTGGTGACCTCTTCCTTGATTTTTAGAGCCCAATCCGGGCGTATTCTCTGAAGCTTCTACTTGACGGGTCGGGCCTCAAGGTCAAGAGGGATCCGATGATGTACAATCTCAGGATCGATTCTAGGCATGTCTTCGTAGGACCACACGAAAACATCTTTGAAATCTTTTAATAAAGCAACTAAGTGCTTGTGTTCCTCCAAAGACAACGTGGACCCGATCTAGACCAAATGTGGATCCTACTCAGTACCAACATTAATTGAAGTGATTTCATCAACCAGGGGTTTTACAAGCCTCTCCTCCTCTCGATTAATCAAATGTTTTAAAATCGGAGGAATTTTTTCCATGTCGTTTTTATCAAAGTTTTGAAAGCCCTGATTAATGCAATAAACAAGTGGCACAGAAAAGTACTCAGAAATAGCAGCGGTACCATTGTCATTCACAACTTCCAGTTCGTCCAATTCCTCAATTACAACCGACTCAAAAGAAAAGGAAAAAGATAACCACGACAAGACAACAGCATCCGGGTTATCAACCCCAGGAATACCGGACTCTGACTCAGAAGAACTAGAATATGATTTCGACTCCACAGACTCTGTGGAATCAGATTTCGGTTCACTACTTGACTCAGAACTGTTGGACAAAAAGCCCTCCTCGAATTGCCAAATGAGGGAGGGTGCGATAGACGCATCCAGAATGCCAGAAGAAGGGTCCACAGCTGTTTGATCTCCAATCATGGAAACAGAGAAGTCATCCTTCGAGCTCTTTGGTGTGATCTGAGGATCCGAGAGGAGACAAGCCAACACTGCTCCTATCTCGAGTTCTGTGCCATCGGACTCATCCTTTATACACTGTTGAGCCACAGCTGGTAGGTTAGTCTGCTCTTCTGCAATTTCATTCCCTTGCAACTGTAGGTCGAAAAGGATCTCAAAGCTGAGCAAACACCGCTTCTTTGAATTCAGCCATGGCTCAGGAAAGCCACAAAATGGGAAATCCTCCCCCTCTCGGACAAAACGGCCATTCAGGGTTCCTTGAATAGGTTTATGCACTAACTCATAGTGCTTCCCAGCTTGTTTAGCCTTGGCCCTTCCTGTCATTTCCTTTCCCTTTCTTACCCAATCCTCTTTGGTAGGTGTAACCTAGACCAATGGTATAAGGGTTGTGTGGCACTTCAGCCAATACAGCGACGCCCTTCCGGCCGCTCATTTCCAATCCCATTCCAGGTACATGTTGCAGCTTATTCATGAGGTAAACGGATTGCGCACTGACATATAGCCCCTCATCAACAGCCAGCATATCTTGCACTACCCGGGCCTCAGCTAAGGTGAACCCAGACAGAAAGACATCCTCCTCGCCGTGCACAATTTCCAAGACTGGTGTAGTAACCTCCGCCGGCGGATGTATGGAAGAGTTCCCAAAGATAATAGCTACCCCCTTCCCATAGGGGTACTTCAGCATCTGATGCAGAGTGGAAGAGACAGCTCTTACTTGGTGCAGCCACGGTCATTCAAGGAGTAAATTGAAGGTGGCTGGAACATCCAAGACGTGAAATTCAATGTCCTGCTGCGCCGGGCCAACTTGAGTTCTGATCCGTACTATCCCCATTACTTCCCGACTTGTATTGTCATAAGCCCGAATAACCTGGGTTGTTAGTACGAAATATGCCGGCTTCAAACCGATAGCATAGGCCGTACGTGACGGACACACATTAATTGAAGATCCCATATCAACCAAGACAACTGGTATCCATTTCTCTTTACACTCCACAGAGATGTATAACGGCTTGTTGTTCTCAGAGCCCTTAGGCGGCAATTCTTTATCTGTGAACGTCAAAGTCGATGAAGCACCACCCGGGAAAACCAGTCCCACTAACTGCTCGAGGGTTGTGTCAATAGAGAGCTTAGCCTTATCCATTGCCGATAGGACGGCTTGTCTATGAACCCGTGAAGCCATGAGCAAACCCCAGATGGAGATATCCGCTTGACTTTTCTTTAGCTGCTTCAATACTGCTTCCTTTTCTAACAGTTTCTCTTTCTATTTCTCAGCTTCCTTGTCTTTCCCTGACGCCTTTGGTTGGTCCAAGTGCGGGATCTTAAAGTATTGCCCACTCCGAGTCATGTGATCAACTTCCTCGGCATACCATGTATCATCCGGCAGATTCTGTCCCCAGTCTTCATCCGTGTGGGCAAGATGCAAATCATCGTCTTCCCACCACATTCTTTCGGCAACTGACAAGCAATTGTCCAGTTCTACCACAATTATTCTTGTGTTCACAACACAATCAATCCCCGTGGGGCCTTTGGCTTTTCTAGCCTTCTGATCAGTCTCAGTTCTTTTCTGCTCGAACCGCTTTAGCGCGGCCTCCAATTCTGTATCAGCTGTACACAAGCTACCCAATTCTTGAGCAGAATTCTTAGTACCGGTGCTCTCCGGCAACTTCCCCTTGTTGTCGACCGTTCCGGCCGTTGCAGACATTCCTATTCCCAATTGTTCCTGCTTCGGTTGAGACCCCCCATCAACATCTGGCTCATCACTAAGCCAGCCTGTATTATCTGTTGATCCGTTCATATCAAACCAGCCGATCTGTACATCCCTCAGATCCTGTTCATCAAAGAACTATAGGTTACTGATGTCCTTCTCAAGCTCAGCTAAATCATCTAACCCCTAGCTTGGCCCGTCCTCTCGGACTACATTAACCTCAGGAGGTGCTATCACTTTGTTGTCAATGAGATCCTGAATCTCATGACGGAGTCTAAAGCATATGTCGGTGTCATGACCATGCTGCTGGTGAAAGACGCAATACTTGGCCGGGTTGTGTGTAGGTAGGAGGGGATTAGGCAACGGGCGTGGTTCCAGAGGCTTCAGATGCCCTTTTCTAATCAAGACCCCTAAGGCTTTGGATAGAGACATGTAGAGTGGGGTGAAAACCCTTTGGCCCCGGGGTGGGTGCTTTGCGGGTTATGGGGTTGTTCCGGATGTGTCGGTAAAAGGGGTGGCTGTTTTCGGCATGGTGGTGACCATACCAACGTCAGAAGTCCTCGCAGCTGCGTTGCTACTCATAGCCGCATTTCAACCGTGTGTAAAAGCCCTCTGGGGCTGCTCCTTTTCATGGTCAATCAAACCCTGTTTCATCGCATCCTCTAGCTGCCCCTATCTCATGAAGGTCAACAAATGTAGGTAGGGGTAGGACAATCATCTTCTGCATCAGCTTCGGTTGCAAATTATGAATGACCATTCTTATCTGGTCCTCCTCAGCTGGCCTGGTAGTCATTATGGAGGCCTTGGCCCTCCACCTAGTGACGAAATCAAAAAAGCCCAACTTCGGCTCATGTCGAGTGGCCTCTAGATCACGAATTCTGACCTCGATTTGGGTGTTATAAGAATATTGGGCGGCAAAGGCCTCGACCATCTCTTCCCAGCTCCTTTTCACAGAATCCTCTAGTTTAGCATACCAGAAAGCCACAATACCCGACAGGGTCCGGCCAAAGAGGGATAGCTTTTGCAATCTAGTTAGGCCCATCGGCCGTAGAATATCTGAAAATAACCGCAGGTGGACCATAGAATCGCCCATGCCATCAAAGCGGTCTATGTGTGGCACTTTAAATCTATCCGGCAATGTCACCGCCGAATTTGTGTAGCCGTCCTCTATATCTGCGATCGAATTGACTCCCTGAGCTCGCTTGAACAACTTCTCAAGCTTGTTTACTTTCAAAACAGTAGGATTGACCTCAAACTCGAACGGTGTGTCCGTTGGGTAGGCCAGTGCTTTAGAAGTCTAAGGTGGGACTGGCCCTACTGGAGTGTCCATATTCTCCTGGACATTAGTTGTATCCCCGGGTATTAGAACCATAGGCGGGGGTGGGTGCGAAGCAGAAGCTACTGCTTGTTGTGGTTGCTGCTGCTATTGAAGCTTGGCAGTTAACTCAGCTTGCTGGTCTGCGACCTCTGTTTGGCGAGTGGTAATTTCTGCTTGGCGAGCAAAGTCCCGTTGCATGGCCTTGATGGTCAGTTGAAGTTGATGTATCATATCCTCCATACTGTCTGAGGGGTGTTGATCTGATAGAACTTGTATATACTCTCTTTCTGAGGTGGAAGTAGAAAACTAGGCCCGACTGCGCACAGGTGAAGCAAATAATGACTGCTGAATTGGCGACTGTTGAACCAGTGATCTATGCCTAACTGTCCTCCATCTCGTAACCGGGGGTAGCAAACCAAACATTGGTTGTCCTCCAATAAGATCCTCACATTGGTAAATCCTCCTGACTCTGGTCTAGAGTGCTCGGGGGGAAACTACCTCGCCAAAAGCAATTGTGAAACACTACCTTGCAAAAAGAAAATAAAGCAAAAAGGAAACAACAATCAGCAAATGCACAGCACCTCGGCTTAGACAAAGACAACACACAGTTGAAATCATAAGCTGGATAATCTATACTCAAACACTAATTTTTGCCCCCCAAACTTCCGCCTGAAAACTGATACCCTCAAACTAATACCTAGACTTGTAACTGATACATACATTCCTGTAGAGACACACCCTAACAGCATATATCAAGCAAGTAAGAGCCAAAACAACCCTATGGTGGGGTAGGGTTTCCCTGTCCTAGCTTCGTAGTGAACTAGGGGTTCACTATGCACACATGCAGTTTCATACAATCCTGTATTCGGGTGAGCACCCTGTCCTAGTTTGGAACAGTCTCTATGGCTTCCGATATGCAACTAGGTCAATTGGTCAAAAGGGGTGCCTCAGCAAGACCACCTAATAGACCTCTCGCACCTAACACCGAGAAGTGAAAGGAGGATCAAACGGTACGGCGGTGATCCAGATCCAAGGTTTGTGTTCCCATCGTGGCAGAGCCCGCAACCGGTCAGCCTTATGGCACGCTTTTCCAAGCAAGCCTCTTGCAAACTGTTCAAGAATAGTAGATGGCAAACGCTGTGACTTAGGCGTACCTATGCAAATGCAATGCAAAGAAACACATAAATGTAGATAAATCAACATATCATGAGTTCGAGTCAAGTTCTCTAAATCCCCAACAAAGTCGCCAGAAACGGTAGACTCGACTTTCTTCGTGCCCCTTTCGGAGAGCTCGAATTGGTCCTATAGTTCGGACTCCTGTCACGGTTCCGAATCCAATATCACAAAGTGCAATGTGAAACTGATAAATATCAAAGAGTCCAATCCGGCAAATCATTTTGGAAAATAGATTTTAAATCAAATAATGCCAAAATTGGACAGCTTTGCCAGATTACAAAGTCGCCACCTAAATATTTTATTTTGGGAAAATTTAGGAAACCCTGACTCGTGTCAAAGGCCACGTGTCCATCATCACCAAAGTTGCCTCGGCTCGGGAACTTGGATATGAGAGGGGAAGGTCCTGAAATGAGCACCCCCGCCCGCTTGATCAAAGATCGGCCTCTACTAAGCATGATATGTTGTTTCATAAACACATGTGTTCTTTTTCCAATTTTTATCTAACTTTACTATGTGATGCACACACAAGTATAGACTAAAATCACAAGAATTGGAACAAAACAACTCATGTTTGTTTTCGAAAATGGTTTGAATTTGCCACCCGTAAGTTGGCATAGAAACGCGGATTTGCCACCCTCAAGTGGGCTTAAAACATGATGATTTGCCACTTTACAAAGTGGGCTTAAAACGCACAATCATCGAATTGTTCCAATTCAAGCAATAAAGCCTTCATCCACAGGCATTCATGCAGTTAATCATTTAAGCAAATAGCCTCACGGCAATCATACGAAACATGGCATCACTCACACTCATGCAAGTATGCTAAAGCGTAAAACTTACAGTGTACTCCAAGTCAAAACAAAAGCTAGTTAGAAACAATGCATGATCCTAACTATGTTAGATGCCTAATGCAACACATGCAATAATGCAATTAGTAGGCTCGGCTACCTAATATGTCATATGATACAATTTGATAACATGCTTTGAAACACATATTCAAATAAGTATTGAATTGACAATGCAGTTTGAATGATGCGTCGAGCCTTGGTGCATGCAATACAAATGAATGATGCAAACATGCAAGCATAAGTTATGCTAATCAAAACATGATCCCTAATATAACCATCAAAAATGGGTGAATAAAAGGGAGAAAGACGTGGGTTTGGAAGACATGTACACACACACGCACGCTTATTACAACATTGTGCCCTCGCGAAGGAGGGTTCGAATAAATAAGATAAGCTAGACTAAGCTAAGGTAATTATTACAAAACGAAACTAATTAATTGTTCTAGCTAATTAATTATTACAACCCAATTGAATAAATAGCTACGCTAAGCTAATTTAAAATATTACAAAACAGATTAAACTAATTAATTACAACACATGTATTAATTAGCTACAACTAGCTAATAAAGCAATTAAGCGGCCTCGCGGGTGAGGGAGACGTGCATGCTCGGTTAGCTTCCTCCCGAAAATCCATCGCCTTGCCACCGGTTGCCTCTGTTTTCACTCGCCATGATCTCTGAACCCTGTACCAATTTCTAGACTGCTTCTGCTCCAAAACAGGAACACTTTTGCACAAGAATGGACTAGTGGCTGATCGGCCACAAAAGGTGGCTGCCGGCCACTTTAACTGGCTGGTCGGCTAGTCTAGGTGGTCGGTCGGCCACTGCTTCTTCCAGACTTCTGTTTTTTGCTGCAACAGAGAGCAACAGAGGCAAAGCAATGCATTTTTCAAGGAATGTGTGTACTGCCACCTCCTCATCATTTCTCATGCTCAAAGGAGTATGGCACTTGGCTCTCAAGACACCAATCAAGCATTTCAATGCATGATGGCCAAAGAACCAAACTCATACAAGCTTCATGAATGCACAAATAAGACTCAAAGGACCACCACCCTATCATGCATGATCAAGGGTGACGGAGACCAAGAAACGTGACACGTTTCATCACTTTGAGTATGAAACATCCCACATTTCTTGTGCTTGGATTAACGTCCGATCCAAACACATGCAATGCAACACAAATATGTTTATCTTGCTCAAGTTTTACTTGATTCATTTTGTTTGCATATTTTAAGTTACCGATTAATCCTTTAACCGATTAAGTCCAATGTGAGAGTCCTCTAATTGGAAAGATGGCCTAAGTCACAAGTGCCTTGACCATGAAAGCAGCCTCATGCTGTTTGTTAGAAGGAACCGTCAAGAGAGGGTTAAAACCATTAGGCATGAGAGCCTCAAGTTCACACTCAAGCCAACAAAGGGCTCAAGACCACTTTCAAAGCAAATTAAAAAGTGAAAAATAGAGGGAGGTTATGGACTTTTCAATGCTAAAATGGCATGAAAAATGGCACTAAATGATGCAAGCAACACATGCACAAGATGTTCAAAAGCCAAAAGCAACAAAACTAGTGAAGAGCACTACACTAAAGGCATGCAATACCAACCTCAAATGACCAAACTAGCTCAAAACAAGGCTAAGACATGTGAAAACAGTGGCTAAAACATGCTGAGATTAAAGCATAAAAGGCAAGAAAAACATGCTCATGTGTTAGGCTACAAACAAGACTCAAAACACAACTCTCAAAAGCAAGG